TCCACCAGCTTCCCAGAGCATGTGAGGCCTGCTGGGTTTTGCCACCTCCCCAGGCTACATGTGGCCCCTCCTTGGGAAAAGCAGCAGGTTCTGAGTCAGGGGAAAAAAATGGATTTAAATTGTCCGCAAAATGTGTTCCTGCTTTGAGACGCTGAGGGGTTTTTTTTTTCCAAGAGCAAACAGGCTCTGACCCCTCCCGGGCACGTCGAGATCCTGAGAAGTGCCGTGTCCTGCCTGCCGGTGGTGCAGACACAGCTGCCTTCCCCTGCCTGCTCCTGCTGCCCCTCGGACGGGCGCGTCCTTGGAGCTCTGGGTGCTGCATCACCCAGTGAGTCCTGGATGGGAGTCCCCAAAGTCTCGGGGCTGCTGTAGCTCTGGCTTGGTGCCATGGATGTGAAGGTAGCTCTGTTCCCCACCGCTCGTGTCCGTGTAGTGGGTGAGGTCATGCTGCAGGGGGGGTGCTGAGGTTCGGATCCTGTGCTGCTCCTGCCAGCACCAGGCAGGAGCCCCTGGGGACGGGGGACAGGAGCACTCGCTGCACTCCTGTTGCCCTCCCCAGGCACCCCAGCAGGGCTGGCACTTACCCATCCTGGGAGGGAGCTGAGCAGGCAGCCAGGCCCGCTCTGGGCCAAGGCGAGAGGTGTTTGGAGCAGAGGACGCAGCCGTTTGCCGTAAGGAGCCCCAGGAGGAGAGGGGGGGTTTGTCTCTGCCAGGAGCAGGGAAGAAGAGCCTGGCTCGGGCTCAGGCTCAGCCATGCTGCTGGGGTGGGACAACACTAGAGCTCAGGGCTGCTACCCCACAGGCTGCCCCATCCCCTCGGCCGGGGGTCTTGCCCCTCTTCCTGGGCTGGTGCCAATGAGCCCCTTTTTCCCCTTGGGCTGGGGCAACAGTGCCACCATAGCAGAGGTCCCTGGCAAGAGAGAACCGAGGCAGCCAGGTGCCACCGTCACTGACAGTGCTGGCCCCTGTCCCCACAGATCATCGATTTGACCTGCGAGGACACGTGCACAGACCCAGCGCCGTGGAGCAGCCTCACCATCATCGACCTGACAGAGGACACATGCAGCCCTCTCCGCAGCCCTCCCCGCGCCACCAGCTGGGCTGACCAGGACCCCGGGCAGGCGTCTGCTGCCCCGGCAGCACACACATCCCATCCCCGGCTCTGTTCCACCACAACGCAAGAAACAGAGGTGACGGCGGCGCCGAGCCCTGCAGTACCCTGGCATGGCACTCCCGCAGAGCCCAGTGCCACCACGGACACGGCAGAAAGTGCGGAGAACTGGAGTTGCTGCTCTCCCACCTCCAGCCGACACGGCTCCTCCTGCCGCCCAGAGCAGAAACGCAGCACCACCCC